GGAAAGTGGGTAGCTGCTTGTATGCAGAGTTGTACATCTGCTAATGCTGGTGCCGTCCTATGGTCGTAGTGCCCTGGGTGAGCCTGCTATCATTTCAGGAGCCCTATCTTTAGGCACATGGCCTGATGGCCAGTGGAAAATAACTTCCCATGTGTTTTTCATGATATCAACATTCTTCTCAGCAAATATATGGAACGTGAGGCAAGATACCTACAATCCTTTAAATTCAATCCCATCATCCACTGTTCTCAGGAGCAACACAACTTTCTTCTCCATTTGAGGCCAGGACATGCAAATGTTCCACTCCCATTGCTGCCGTGCACAGAGCCAACCGACACTGAGCAGACAGTGAGCAGGCAGATACGTTGCAGCCATATGCAGAATGATTGCACCCAGGGGAATTGTGACGTGGGGTCTGTCTTGTAACTAGATCTGCTCCAAACAGTGGCTGGCAAACTGAGGAGGCTAGTAACTGCATGTGAGATTTTGAGTGATAATGTTTAAGAAAGCATAAGGGAATAGATGGATAGACACATAGGTGGATAAAAAGTACTGCAATTTAGTAACCACTGACTTCCCCCCCCCACAGGATACCCAGATCACTGTGCTGATGACCCCCTCTATGGGAGAGGGGGTCATCAGCCAGTGAAAGCCGGAGCAGCCAGTTGTTGAGCTTGTAGCTGATTTACAGAAAGCAGCCACTGGTCCCATGATTGCTGTGTGCTGGGGAAACTGCTACAGGCTGGAGGAGATGCAGCAGACAAGGTCATTCCAGGCCACTTGCCTGGATGTGCTGGCAATGTGGAGCCGGAGGCCCAGCATGGGCTGCCGTGGCTGCACGGAGGCCAGGCTCTCCTCCCACGGGGCTGGGCTCAGAGTTTGTGGCTGAGCCCCTGGCAGGCATCTTGGGAAGGGTGCCTCATTCCAGGATGAATCCAGGAAAGAAGCAGTGATGTGTAAAGTGTCTATGGAAATAGCAGCAGCAGCATGGCTTGCAGAGGGGGATGGGGAGGTCTGCAGAGCTGGGGAATGCATGCCTAAGTGAGGAGATCATAGCACAGGGCGGGTGGATATGCTTCCAACTGAGGCTCAGGGCTGGCTTGAATTCAACCTCAGACACCCAGCTTTGTGTTGCTTGCTCCCTTTTACAGATGGGGAAGCTGAGGCTGAGGGGAACATAGGGCTTCCTACAGTGGATCAGAACCAAGGTCCATCAAACCGACTGGCTCTGACGCTGGCCAGTAGCAGGACCTGCAGAGGGAGCAGTACTGACCTCAGAGCAGCAGCCGTGGGGCAGACTTGGGACGAGTTTTTCAGGCTGGGCCCCTGTGGGATGAGATAGTGCTTTGCATGCAGGACCTGATGGTATGGCCCCCAGATTTAGATACTGGCATTAGGATATTCTCTGCATTCTTCCCTATCTCCCTCCTTAGGCAGCCTGATGGGTTGTTAGTTTAGCCTACACATTGAGCAGAAGTATCAGTTGATCTCAACAGTGAGATTTAGATCCCTCCCCAGACATGATACTGTTGATGCAAGGTAAAGGACTGGTCATACATGAGGGAAAGGAAGGAAGCAATTTGTTCAATTGCTTCAATTGCTGAGTGAGTTGTTGGTAGCATTAGTCACAGAACCCAGGAGACCTGCTTCCAGATCCTCTTCTCTTCTCAGTGACCCCCACTAGCCTCCTGGATTTGGGCAGAGAAACCAGGAACATGCAGTGCAGCTGCTCAGCAATTGTTGACTGCTATGAGTGCTATAGCTCCTGGGGGTTGGATGTTTCTCTGGCTTCTCAGTGCCCCTCAGCTCCACAGAACCGAGCCAAGTCCCTTGCAAGAACTGTCTCCAGCCAGGTTCTAAGACTAGTGAAACACCTGCTACTCACAGGTCAGGTGCTGCAGTTGATCTGCTAATCCTGACAGCTACAGGCTAGAAAGCTGAGGTCTTGGATTTTCACCAAAATACAAGAGCAAGAAAGAAAAGATGGACCCACATAGTATTTGTTGGAACTACTAGGGGCAGGAGCCCAAACAGCCTAGCTGGGGTGGGCTCTGGAGGAGCATAGCACAGCTTCAAGGTGAAAACAGCAGGTCTCTTACAGCTTGGGTATTTGGTGCAGGAGAAAGGAAGGTAGGATTGAGTGTGTTGTACACTGCACCCAGCTCTGCTATAGAAGCTGTGGGCAGATGGGATGGAGTATGGGGATGGGGAAGCAGCATAATACCATGACTTCAAGGGATGGTATGGCCTGTTCCAGCACTTGGTAAGTCATGGATGATGCCACAACTGCTGTCTTGCTGATGGCCCCCAGTGGAAGTGTGGATTTACACCAGTCAGGGATCTGGTCCGTTGACACCAAAGGAGCGAACCAGTTCTCCCAAACTGAGGCTTTGTCCGGCAAGGATTATAACTGGCTGGGTGAATCATGGACTCCATGGTTGTTGGTTGTAGCCATGTTGGTTTAAGGACACAGGCAGACAAGGTTCTTTGGGTAGACGTGATATCTTTTATTAGACCAACTAAATAGTTGGAAAAATTGTTCTTTGGAAGCTTTCCGGCACAAACACACTTCTTCAGGCATAGGGGGAGTCTGCTGGTGTTGTATGTGCTCTCCTGGGTGGAATAGAAGCCAAAATGCAGGTCTGAGAAAATGCAAATACATGGCAGTAAGGATCAGAGGGAATGGGAGACAATAAGTGTGAGATAGGTAGGTGGAGGGGAAAAGGAAGGAATGTAGAACTGGTGATAGAACATAGCTGGTGAAATGCAGACAGGTTACCTGGGGTTATCATATGGCAGGCAGGTTAAAATGTGCCATAAATCTAATGTCTATATTTAGTCCATGATTTCTTGTATCCATTAGATTGATGAAGTGAGTTCATAGGCTCGTCTACGAAAGGTGCTTTATAAATTCCCATTGAGGATTAGAACTGAGATTGGAGAGAGAGCAGTTGTCTTGTGAGAAGTGTGCACCCACAGGTAATTGGGTATTTTTGTCTTTGATTTTTGATGTGCGTTCATTCTGGTACACAGTTGTCATTTGGTTTCTCCAATATGCTTTCCATCAGGGCATTTAGTGCGGAGAGAAGGGCCATAGAATCTCTAAGACCCAAGCACCAAATAATAATAAAATCAGCAGATAAAAGAGGAGCTATAGTTATCCTTACCCATGAAGACTACATAGAAGAAGCCAATACACAACTCTCTGACACCACCTACTACAGAAAACTAAAGGAAGATCCAACTCCCCTTTTCACCTTAAGACTCAAAACCACCAGCACATCATTTCCATCTGAATATCTCCCTTAGGGAAATCAAGGCAGAGAATTGTCATGTGACTTGCCTAAGATCAGCTCATGAGCTTGTTGTAGTACTGAGAACAGATGCCACACCAATGAATCTGCACACTGGTTCCTTGCTATTGAACCACGCTGTTTCTTTCTGTGTGGCAATGGAAGAGTTTAGGCCATTTGGGTGAACTTACCTGTGAATTTCCAAGCTTTTTTAATAGGAGGCCTTTATTCTTAAAAAGCATCATTCCTTAAGGATTCATGCTGTCCTCAGATGAAGCAACAGATATTTACAACCCTCTCTGTTGTTGAATGGCATTGCTTGCTTAAGAATTCAATGCAGCTTCTAGCTCTGTCCTTTAAAACTAAGCTAGGGAGCATTAATTCAAATGTGATGGCTCTTAAAAACACAGTAGTGAAGGCCTGTGAAACCACAGCTTTGCTGAGAAAGTTGTCAGTAGGGATCATTCTGACATCCTGCACAGAGAATCTGACCCAGTGATTCCAGCAATGGGCCCAGAGACTCCTGGCAGAGCTACAGAAAGACAACAGAGCTGGATTAAAAAACTTCAGGTGGCAGAAAATCCCTCCCTCCCTTCCCAGGTGAACTATTCCCAAGGCTAATCACCTTTGCAGTAGAAAATGCAGGCTTCCAGCTGAGGCAGCAGGGAGTCCATGGGCACAACTCAAAACCCAGGCTCAGTCCCCAGCTTTCCCCACACAACTCTCAGGTGCCCCACTCAAGCTGTGGGCTCCATCCTGTTCTGTATAAACAGCTATTGTCCATCCACACAGCTCTTGAGCTGGGGCTCTAATAGTCACAAAAGAGTCCAATCTGTCTTGCATTCAGCTCTCTGCTTTCTAAAGAAACAAAGAGCCAGATCCCCAGAGGGTGTGTGCAGATCCATGGACAGATCCATGGACCGTAGCAGGGCTGTGTCACCAGCAGAGCAACTAGAGCAACTGGTCTGGATGAGGGAGAGAAGGAGCAACCTTTCAAATCATTGAGCCATCCTCAGGATTTTCCCCTACCTCATTATCTTCCTTTGCTCCTAGTGTGGCCTAATGGTTCAGTTTCCGATTGTGGGAACAGTTACTGACAGAAAAAACAGTTGTTTTTTTATCACAGTGCAGCTTGTTTCTGACGCCACATACATCAATCCTTGAACAGAGGTGGTCACAAACAGCATGTAGGCAAGCCCTTCACAGAGAAATCTCTGCCCAGATACTACTGTCCTGTTCCATGTATGGATTCAAAGTAGACAGAATAAAGAGGAGCAAACTTTGTTGCTACTTGCAACAGCTCCACCCACAAAACTACATCCAAAACCTAACTATAACCCAAACTGTCTTTAAAAACTGTAAACTACTCACACACAGAGAAAAAAACCCACTCAGGCAGGGCAGTGACTCCTGCTGTAACGATAGGCTTGCCATTTTTTCAAGTCTACTTTGAAGTGATCCCAGCAATAGGACTCCTCCCTTCCTTTCATTCATCCAGGTTTTTTCATCCATCCATCATCCATCCCTTCATCCATAAACTCTAACACCTGGGTGCCTTTCACCCAGACTGTAACTAACTCAAAGAAGCCAGTGGTTCAATTTCTCCACTGTACTTCCCAGCACATCTCACAGTTTCCTCTGGTTTGCCTTGCATTGCACAGAAATGGTCCTTCTCCAGACCCTAGGTTTGTGTGAAACTCATGGCTACAGAACAGATCTTTGCTCAGCGGTATCTTATGCAGGAGGAAATTTGTTCCCTAATTGGTAGCAGTCCCAGAATGCAATTCACTGATTGACAATATTAATGTGGAAACAAGTATCACGCAAGATGCTGATGGTGTTAAATAAGTGATTAAAAAAGGATTTGTGATGAGGGAAGAGATGAAAGAGGGAGAGGAAAATAAAACAATAAGACATAACCTCAGACCCTGGCCCAAAATGGGAATCTATTTACTTTGAGATAAGACCATACAGTAGAGCAAATAAATCTAAATCTGTGTGGGTGTGCGCATGCGCGCGCATGCGCATACATGTGTACGTGTGAGTGCATATGTGCTTTGTGTATATGAGTAAAGGTTTGTTTCTCTATTTATATTCAGATCGGGTGTGGAGCTATATGTGAAATAGAGTTTCTGGGTGGGGCATATACCTACACAATTGTGAAAGCTTGTTTCAGAGTTTGCGGCTGTATCTGTGTTTGTATATGTAGCCTGGGGGTGAAAGATGGCTGTATTTGCATTGGACGAGTCTGTATTTCCATTTGAGAGACAAAGCACAGGAAATGATGTGTCTGGGTGAGTGTGTACGTGTCAGTGTGTTTCTGTGTGTGCTGGCATCTGGGCTTGTGTGGTTTCTGGAAGCATGAGTCTGTGATATGCGGTCACGTGTATTTCTGAGTCTATGTAAGGGGTGTGATAGACAGGCAATACACTTCTCTGGCTATATTACTATGCAGCGTCTCTAACCATCTACCTCCATGTGAAAGTCAGACTGAATTTGCCTGTCTGCTACTCAGAGAGGGGCTCAGTAGGCAGGGCAGGATATGCTGACAGTGTGGGAATCCAAGATATGTGTGGACCGGGATGGTGGGGGGAAGTGTATCAGAAGAGTAAATGGTGTTTGAAAAATCCCCAGACAGAAACAGAACAAGTCCTCTTGGCTCCCAGGTAAATGTCTCCAGTGCCACAGTCTAGGGCATGGTGTGAAATTCCAGGAAAGGAACTGGCAGAGGCGTCATTCAATCTCCCTCCCTGTCCCACACACTGTTGACTGTTCTGCGTGTCCTGCTGTAAACAGACACTACTGCCCACAACACGCAGGACGTCTGCTCCAGGGGCTGAGGTCCCGGGAGTCTCAAGGTTTGTGAAACCCTGTTCCTGTCTGCAAACGGGGCCCTGCCGCACCGTGATGAGGCATCACCTCATTCTGGTCCGTGCCTGCCACATGTGACTTGGGGAAACCAACTTTCTTTCTGTCCTTCCAGAATTCTGCACCTAGCTCCTCACCATGGTCTGGTGCCAGAGGAAGCACTCCCCTCTCCCCAGAGGCACCTCCCCGTCACCCCCCAGGAGTACAAGAGCCCCTCTGCAGCCACATGCTACCATCAGGAGGAACCTGTCTGCCAGTTTTGGGGTAGGTGTATAGAGTGTGGCTAGAGTGTGTACATGTATAGAGTGTGGCTAAGACAGAGTACGTACATGTATAGAGTGTGGCTAAGACACTTTAGCAGGATTCAGACACCTGAGTTTAGTTCCCAGTCCCTCTATGTGATCCTAGGCAAGCCACTTCAATTTTCTGTGCCTCAGTTTCTCTATCTGTAAGATGGGGACAGTGCTTAGTCTGCCACCTCTTAAGGGAAGGGTGCTGTCTCTCACTGCATGCCTGTGTGGTGCCCAGCCCTGATCTCAGCTGGCATCTCTACATGCAGTCACAGAAATGATTAAATGGACATTGAATAGGAAGCAGCACTCCTTGGCAGGGCTGGTGCCTACTGACCTGCAGAGGGGATGCTGAACTGGGATCTTTGGAGCACCCCTGATGGCAATGCTGCTCTCCCTGCTCTTTCCTTTTACATTTTGGAAAAATGTTCTCCATTCAGGGTCTGGTTAAGGTGATGAAAGACACCCAGAATACTCCAGGGCAGATGAAGCCCTTTAATCCTCACCGGCTTTCCCATCCCTGGCCTTCCTAAACAGACAGCTTTGTTGATGCCCTTCAATCTTAACCCCCCCATGGGCACCAGTCCCCTGGGTTCTTCCCTACAGATCTGCCATTGTCCCTCTGTCTCAGCCTACCCACTGCCCATTGTTACACTAGCCTTGGATTTCCTGCCCCTACAGAATTCTGCTCGTGTTCATCAAACCTGCCATTGACCATAATGGTGCAAAGTGAGTAGTTATTCCTCAAGTCCCAGTGTCAGCCTGTGCTAGGCAGAGGGAAGCCACTGCCTCATGTTCATCAGGTCTCCCTGTAAGCTTCCCTGCCCCCACCACCCCGTCATGGGAGTCCTGCAGGAAAAAGTACCCCTACATATCCTTGGGGACCAATTCAAAGCAATGTTGTCCCCCTCACTCTCCCTGGTCCTAAGGGTGTCATGGGGCTGCTCTCTGGACCTGAACCATCAGGACCAATGTCAATACCCACCTTGCCTTTCCTGCACATTGAGCCCACTCAGCCAGATCCAGTGGCTCCCAGGGGGAAGCAGCTTGCCCATCAGTCTTCTGGAACTATTGATCTGAAAGTTTGATCAGAACAGTGCGTTCCCCAGCAGGCAACATCCAGTGCCAACACCACTAGCGTCACTGAAACCAACCCAGCCCCTGCTTCCCACCACACCAGGGGAAACAGCTTGGGATTGTTTGCAAAGGGGAGGAGAGATCAAAGATCAGATCCATGGCATCCTGTTGCCCAACAGTACTAACCTCTAACCCCATGGGGCTCAGACACCAGGTTCCAGAATGCACTGGTTTCACCAAGGCAGAGAAGAGGATGTTGCGTGAAACCCATTCCCCACCAAAGTTTTAGCCATTGACAAAGCTGCCTCAATGTCAAACCTGGGTGGATTACATCAAAGCACAACTTGCCTCACAGCAAGGCACTGCTTAGATTGGAATTTAAGAGGTGAAGTGAGCGTATGCTAACTCACCGGAGAACTTCAAGGTGGATCTTAATCCATGCTAAACTGGTGGGGTTCATGGCTTACCCTTCCTCAAACAGAAAAGCACATGTCTTATCAAGAGTCTAGCTAGTGAGCTAGCCAGCAGGCTACCATCACACCTTCAATCCTGGTCTTGATGAGGACTCAGGCCTCTATGAGATGTTCATTGCAATACACAGGTATAGCCTGTATTTGTAGGGAGAGGATAAGAAAAGCAAGGATGGTGACTGAGATCAGGTTGGCAACTGAAATCAAAGACAAGAAGAAGTCCTTCTTTAGGTATAAAGGGAGCAGGAGGAAGACCAAGTGAAATGTGGGACCCTTGCAGAATGGGATGGGACAGCTGATAACAGACAGTCAGGATAAAGCTGAACTCTTTAATGAATATTTTGCATCAGTGTTCCTGCATATAAATGGTGGTTGCCCACCTGGACAGATTGCAGGGGGGGGGGAGCAATTGCCAGCCAGTGGTCAGTGTCGAACTAGTGATGGAGCACTTAGAGCAGCTGAATGTCTTCAGGTCAGCAGGACTGGATGGACTACACCTCAGAGTGCTGAGGGAATTGGCTGGAACCATTGCGGGACCATTGGTGAAGGTATTTGAAGACTCGTGCTCAGGAGAGGTCCTGGAAGACTGGAAAAGGGAAAATGTGGTGCCAATCTTTAAGAAGGGAGGGAAGATCTGGGGAACTATAGGCCGCTCAGTTTGACCTCAATACTGGGTAAAATTTTGGAAAAAATTACCAAGTTCATTTGTGAAAGACTGGCATAAGGTATGATGCTGAAGGATAGCCAACATGATTTCACTGCGGGCAGGTCATATCTGACCAACCTCATTTCCTTCTATGATCAAGTAATGAACCACTTAGATATGGGAGATGCAATTGATGTCATATACTTGGACTTTAAAAAGGCCTTTGATATGGTCTCCCATGACAATCTTATAAAAAAACTGGGGGATTGTGGGCTGGCAGAGTCCACAGTCAGGTGGGTTGGTAACTGGCAAAGGGGTCAAACCCAGAAAGTGTTAGTGGACAGGTCTGTAGCAGTTTGGTGGGAGGTGCCCAGTGGTGTCCTGCAGGGTTCAGTTCTTGGCCCTGTGCTTTTCAACATCTTTATCAACGATTTAGATGAGGATGTGGAAAGCATCCCGACCAAGTTTGCAGACAATACTAAGTTATGGGGAAAAGCAGTCACGTTAGGGGATAGGATATGAATACAAGGGGACCTGGAGAAGCAGGAAAGTTGGGTGGAGTGGAACTGGATGCAGTTCAATAAGGATGAATGCAGAGTGCTTCATCTGGGGAGAAGTAACCAGCAACATGAATATAGGTTAGGAGGAGATGTCCTGGCCAGTACAATGGCTGAAAGGGACCTCAGGGTTTTGGTTGATCATAGAATGAACACTTCGGGAAAAGAAGACTGAGGGTGTCTTGGTGGCTGTCTATAAGTATGTGTTGACGGCTGTGCCCAACTCGACTCTGCTGCCAGAATCTGGTGCTCCTGTTCACTGAGTACCAGTTCTTAGGGCCAGGCACCTTGGTTTAGATTCACTCATATTAACAGGGCACACCCTCCATCTCTCCTGCCAGGTCTTGATCTTATTAACAAGAGGGGAGGATCCTTGGTTGATAGTGTTTTCCCACTCACACACCCTGGGTCACTGGTCCTTGAGGCTCTGTTTCCCCATAAACCCCGTCCTTACACCTACCAGATCTTACACTCTTCCCAGGCTCCCATCTGGTAGAAAGATGGTATTGTCAGTAAACTGCTCATTTGGCTGGGCTTGAGGCTGGTTAATAGTCTTGTATTATGTTGGGTAGAGTCTCTCTCTGTCCTGTCCTGTCCTGTCTGTCGCTATGTCTGGCCGAACAAGTTGTCCATGCCTGGACTCTGCACTGAGAGTGCAGGTCCTTTTTTTATTTATGCCACCAGGTGGTATTGGTCTTCTTCTCCGGCCCCAGCATCTAGATATCAGTTTTGTGTTTTCTCATCTCCGGTGGTTAGGGTCTCTATCCCTTAATCACAGTCTATGAGGCTTTTACTACAAGGCCCAACAGGGGGCTAACCTAGCGGGACTTTAATTCTGAATGCTTACACTTATTAATCTGACAGTCAATACGAAGCTCTGGATTCCCACGTCCTGAAACAAACTTGTGATTGAAGCTTATGGGCGTTCACCTGGGCAGGCAATATCCCTCTGGGTTCTGCATGGGGCCTTGCTCCCAATTTGTCGGGGTTTGTGTCCCGTGGGCTAGAGGCTCCTTTGAGCTTCTACTCAGGCGAGCAGGCTCTCCCTTGCTCACATCACCCCTGCCAGGGCAAGCTCCACTTGGACTCCACACTCCAGGTACCACGGTCCTAAGTCTCTTTTTCCTCTTCTGCCTGTGTGGGGCGTGTTTTTATGACATCAGCCCTTGCATGCCAGCTTATCTGCATCTGGCCCAAGCTGATGAAATGGGACAGATGCGGTGCCCGAGACTCTCTGGTCCATGCTGCTGTCGCTGGTCCTGCAAGTGAGTCCCAAGGCCCAGGAGGTTTATGGGCATTCCAGCCCCATCCCAGGGGCTCCCCACTACCACAGTATGTAAAGGATGAGTATGGAGAGCTGGAAGAAAAACTGTTCACTAGGACACCCCAGGGGAGGACAAGGAGCAATGGCCATAAACTGTTAGAGGATGGTTTCAGGTTGGATGCAAGGAAAAACTTCTTATGGTAAGGGTGACTAGAAACTGGAATAGACTTCTCAAGGAGGTGGTACAGTCCTCAACCTTGGAAGTCTTCAAGAGGAGACTGGACAGACACCTTGCTGGGATCATTTGATCTCAGCAGTATTCCTGCCCAGAGCAAGGGTGTGGATTTAATGATCTTTTGAGGTCCCTTCCAGACCTTAATTTCTATGATTTTATGATTAGGCTCCTGTTGAATTGCCAATCCAGACATCACTTGCATCAGCCAAATGATTTGGCTTCATTTATTTCAAGTGGCCAATAAATGGTGAACATTTTGTCATGCACATTTAAGAATGTAGAAGGGGAAACTGAGGCACAAAGGGGGAAGACATTCCCTCCCTGGCACATGGTATGTAAATAAAAGAAGCATGACCAGAACCCATCTTGCCTCTTTCTAGCACATATTGTCTGCAAACACCCAACAAAGTGACACTACACAGTTGAGTGGTTTCTAAAAAGAGCGTTTCCCTAACCAGTGATCCATGGACTTCCAGTAATCTGTGAGGCTGTAATTAGTGGTCCACAGATCACACTAGATCCCACCCCTTTTCATGTAAAAGTTTGATAATTAGAGAGTAGGGGGTGACAATTTTTGAGGGTGGATAGTGGTCTGTTGGTCCAAAAGGTTCAGGAAGCTCTGCAGTGGAACGCAATCATCCAGCCACCCAGGAGCCAGATTGGAATTGCTTGAGCGATTCTGAGTCTGTTTCTGAAAACTGTGGGACAAACCCTAGAAAACACTG